TATGATTTTGGGGGGGGGGGAGGTTAGAGAAAACTGCTATAGAATCATCTATTTGAAGGACCTCTTTTTTCAAAAATAAATGGCCCAGATTTTTATCAGCTGTTTTCCTTTTGTGGAATTTTCTTGAAATGATGTGTTCCAAAAAACCATTGTTTCGGAGATCCTGTATGAGAGAGCTTTGTGTTTGTTTACTTATTTATTTTATTTAAAATATTCTTACCCTGCCTTTCTCCTTATAAGGATCCAAGGCGGCTTATGTCATTAAAAGACAGTATTAAAGCTAACAAGAGTGAGCATACAAATATGCAAAATAATTAAATAAATACCATACAAAAAACATAAGCAACACCAAAACATATTTGAAGCAATAAGGTACAATAATCCGTATAAAAATCCCACTCAGGCATCTGGTCAGTCACTGAGGAAAAGCCTGCCTAAAGCTAAAGGTCCTGCTTGCAGAAGGACAGCAAAGATGGGGCCAGCCTGGCCTCCTGTGGGAAGGAATTGCAAAATCTGGGAGCAACAACAGAGAAGCTTCTCCCCTGTGTCCCCACCAAATGCACCTATGAAGGTGATGGGACTGAGAGAAAGCCCTCTCCTGACCACTTTAACACTAGAGCAGGCTTATGCTGTACAGTATGTTGTTCTTAAAGTATCAAGTATAGTATTTGTGCTGTACATTTAAATGCATACTTATGAATACATTTTGTTTGTAGTGAGTATAAACTCCAGCTGAACTTGGACTTGAATCACAAATATTGAAAATCTGTGTTTCCCTTTATTTGGGGTATAATCGAAGGAATCAGTGTAAAAAAGAGACATAATTGAAGTATATACTTACAGAAGCAGACAACCAGCACTTTCACATGGTGAAACTACTGCCAGGTGGGAGCCATTTAGAGCAGATTTGCTTAACTGGAATTCTCCACATGGTGCCAGTCATAGTATTAGCAAGTCACTGTTCAGGCAACTTGGAGCATATGTGAGAAGAGGAGGTAGTCACCAGCAATCCTGTGTATTGCACCCATTGTCTTTACAGTGACTCTACAATAACACATCTATGAAAGTTTTATTTCCTACTGCAGAAATTCGTCTTTTCTTTCTTTCTTTCTTTCTTTCT